CCTCCTTGCTCGAGAGTCCAATCCACTAGAAATCTCTTGCTTACGGGTGCAAGATTAAACCGAAACAAACTCTTGCTTGCGGGTGCAAGATTAAACCGTTACAAGTGAATCTCAACTCACTCAACCCCTTCAAGGATTAACCCAATCCAAGAAGAATACAAAACCCTTGTAAGACAATATACCCAAAAGCCTCACAAGAAGAAAAGAAGAAAGAAACCCAGAACAATATCAAACTATATTTTCTGCAGCAGTCGTCCTTCTTTTCTCTCTATATTTCCAGATCTGATTTTTGGTCATTTTAATAGAGATTTGGAGCCTTGCAATTAAAGTCCCTTCAAAGCCACCTCACAAAAGCTCCAATAAGGTTCCACCTTTTTTTTTTAACTTGTCTTGGAAAGTGCTAAGGCATTTAGATCCCCTATGACCCATTAAGAGTAAACAGATAGTTGAACTGTCAAAATAAACTTTCCAGAATTTTTGGTTCGAAGCCAGAAATATTGCTTCGAACCATTTTCGGAAAACAAAAGTCCGAGATTGATTCGAACCAAAATAAATTGGTTCGAACCCAAAACTCTGAACAAGGAGGAATATGAATTAATTCTAATCGTGGGGAAAGATTAGAAACCTTGGATTAATTTTCCTGCACACTTAACACAAAAATGGATTAAATACTTTTGAATCATGGTTTTAAAACATCATCAAAATACAAAGAGAACCTAACATAATATATAATAAAAAATTACCCAAATATATTTTAAATTAACTTTTATTTTATATTTAATTTTAAAAAATAAACAATGTCTTATATTAAAAATAAAATTTATAAAAATTAAAAATATAAATTAGTTTATTGTATGTCCCGTGCAATGGCACGGGTATTGTCTAGTAAAATAAATAAAGAGACAACCCATGTAAGAAAATTGATAATCCCAATTTTTTTAATTGACCCAACAATCTTTCAATTCAACAAAAATGGCCACTGTGTGATTAATTATCTTTACATAACTAAAAAAAAAAATACAAGATTTAATTCTCAATGTTTACTATAAATATTAAATATTGTGTCAACTTTTTATTTAGATAAAAATGGTTTCTAATTCTTTTAAAATTAACAAGTTTAATTCTACAATTAGTTATTTCTGTAAGTTCCTAATGGAAATTCTAATTATAATTTTAAAAGACCACATAATTTTTTCTTTTAATTTTCATTGCCTTAAATTTATTCTTGCTAAATTTTAGATTCTTTAAACTCATTGTCTCTACGTCAAGTGAATCCAATCCGATAATTTTGAGTTAGGATTTTTCAAAGAAACTCTTCTCACTTTTACCGTAGATTTGCATATTTCGATGGTACTTTATGGAAGAAGTATTGCTTTTGGTTGGATGAATTTGAGCACCTTACTAATTGTGGACATGCAATTCATTGAAAATTATTTGGAAAATTCTTTTTTTTTTTTTTTTTGTTCCTACACGTAAGGGTTTATGTATATGTTACGGATTGCAATCATATAATTTGAGATGATTTTCATTTTATATTTTTTGATATATTTATAAAGTAGTAACTTACATAACAAATAAATTATAATTAAAAAATATTTGACTTATAAAATTCATTATATTATTAAAACATCAAATTATACCATTGATAGCCAACCAAAAGTTTCTAAGATTTAACACAAGCTTTGTGTTAAGTAAAATGGTGTTGAGGGATGAATCTGTATTACTTTGGAATTTGCAATATGTGTAGTGCCATATTAGCAAGACTGACTTTGAACTCGTGACTTAGGAAGGGCTCACATGATCTATTTCTACATCAGACATGCTATCTCATATTTTTTGTTGATGACAGCAATGGAGTCAGCATTGTTAGAAATGACACTCACCCACTTTGTTGGGAACATTACAGATATGATCCACTTCAACATTTATTTTATGTACATGGTCAAACTTGGTTGCATCTATCTCCATGACATGGTTGGACATTTATGATGGTCATGATCTCAACTACAATATTTACTACTACATCTTTTTGCCTCCTAGCAATGGTTAAAGGGCCAATCTTACTGTATCTCCATGGCTTTTGTTAATGGACAACAGGTAGATTCTATTACATCTAATAGCTCCCAACAATGGACAAAGGGTCAAATTGGCTATCTCATTTAGCCTCCAGCAATGGGCAAAAGGCCATATGCTTCTACACACTTGGCTACACCAACTCCCAAAAACGGACAAAGGGTTGGATTTCTTTATAAATTTTATTTTACTAGCTCTCAGAAATTGACAAAGAGTTAGCACAACTCGATACAATTAATGTGAGGTGTATAAAAGTTACAACCCTGTGATTGGTTGGGATGGCTACCCTCTAGTGATAAAAGTCCATCAAGTTGTGGTTGGCGACTCCTTGATGGTCACCTATACATGGTGGTGTGGTGCTTGGCGGGCAACAACAACCAAGACTATCTTCTGATAATAATGTAGGTATGGCAATAAGGGGCATCATTCTATTGTGCTATCACACCTTGTCCATGTTGAAGGCCATGGATGCGACTGGCATCCCCTTTCCATGGATAGAACTCCACCTATTTCTATCATATCTTCATTGCTACAGTGGAGTCTTGGATTAATGAGATTTATTCCTTTTGTGACTTGGCAGATTATTGGGAATGCTTTTTCGAATCTACAAAGTTCGCACTCCAACCATGGGCAAATTTAGCCACTGTTGCCCTTTTGGCGATAATGAAGCTTTTCATGGCTGATCTTGCAATATTTATACAATATGGCTAGTGGTCATACACATCATTATTTTTTTATATAAAGGGACAAAATTATTGGTTACCGGTAATCCTAATTTATAACATATTTCTTCTATATGTTTACGTGTTAGTAGGTATGTCGACCAATGGTGCTTGGTTCAATAAAACAATACTATAGCACAAAAAAATCCATATTATTCATTCTTTATTTTGTCACATCGCTAGACATACACAGCAATATTATATGCCAATGGATAAAGGGGCACAATAGTATTCATTCTCACTATTCCCTTTGATATACAAAGGGCTATTCTTCTTTGTTGCACATACTGATACATTTTACACTTAGACATTTGAATAAACACTCATTCATATTTTGCTCTTCGTTGTAGATGAACACAAACCCATGAATCCAAGCTCATGGGATTACTTAGGACAAATTATGGGAGTAGTGGTTTGGTAGGCATGGATGGATGAACATTGCCTGTCCGGCAAAGTAAGGTATTTGTGCCAACCAAGCTTGGAACTAGCGATGTGGCTCGACTTCGCTAGGAAGGGCTAGGTGGCAAAGAGGTGGAGGCAAAGCTTGATCCCAAAAGTGCACCATTTGATGCTAACTAGAAGGCCCAAAATCTCATTAAAAATCAACCAAATATGCTATTTGAGTCTCTCAAACCAATCTATAACTGTATGTAATGCATAGGTGGCTACACAAGTTTCATTGCATGGAAAACCAGCAAAAATGATTGTATTTTGCTTGGAAAAATTATCAAAATCTTAGGCAGAGGTGGTTTTGCCAATAGTACTCAAGTGTCTCCCAAATGTGGTATTTTGTATGGACAAAGAGTTACCAAAAATGGGGAGTCTCTAGCAAACTAGTAGTTCTTCACTAGAGACGTTGGACAAACCATTATTTCACTTTAAAAGATATCAACAATGCTCAAATCCACCCAAAACTTGACACTTGTCCTCATACCACCCAAATCTACCCATTGGATTGCTAAGCTACTCTAGCCCCACTAACTCAAAATTACCAAAATGCCACTACATATATATTTTGATTTTTCCTTCATTTTTCAGTCAATTTTGAGTAGATTGAGTAGATCCAATTTGTTCATGCACTAGACCCCATCTTTTTACTGCCAAGAAATCTTCATCTTTAGCCTTTTGCCTCTCACACTAAAAATTCTAGAAATCTCCATTTTCCTCGTATTTTCTACACTTCCAACCATGCAGAATACACTCCAAACTTGCAACACATCATGGCTAGGGAATTTCATGCTACAGTTTCAGATTCTAGGTTGTTTTCTTGAGCATTAGAAGATCAAGTAGCAGAGTTAGCATCAAGAGATGGGATCAAATCCTCCATTCATAAACCCCCACAACAGTCTTCCTTCTTTCTCCTATCACTACTTTCAAGTTTATTCCTTTGGTTTTGTGGAAGCTTGATGAGGATTATTGTATTTTCAACCACAACATGAAGGTTGTTTGTTTTAGAGTGGGAGTATTTGTCAAGGATAGTAGAGGGCACATTTATTATGTTTATTATTATTCTACAATGTATTGTATATAAAT